CCTGGTCCCACTCGAAGGTTCTATAACTAGGTGTTCTCCCTACACCAGCGGCCTCTCTCTCGTCGGCCGGACCAGAGCCGCCAACTCCTTAGTGTCCTTCTCGGTGGTCCATCACATCAACGGCTACCTGCCTACCGACCGTACACAAGATCCAAGCACGTCTTGCGCATCTGGCGGCCGGAGTACACCGCCTTGTTTCCTGGTAGCGTCCTAGCCAGACCCGTCTCTTTTGGAGGATTCAGCCTCATCGACATCGAGACCCAACTGCGGTAATCATGCTTCAAGGGCAATTAAAATAAGTCCGTTTACGACCACCGAGAAGTCTGAAATTATGTTAACTTACATTTTATCAGGCTTTAATAAGTGAATCAAAATACAACAACAACTGCTTTATTAGGACATTTCCGTCCTGTAAGGACTCGCCATACATCATTTTCATGAAGAAAGGGGGAAAAAACATAAACAAAGGAGATAGGGAAAAATTAAAAGGAAATCAAAGTATTCAACATAACTATACAAATAAACTATGGTGGAAATTATTCTTTGAATCAAAATTCAAACTTGTAAATGCTCTCTGTAAGTATATTAAAAATTGAATACAAGATTTGTGGACAGACATGTAAGCAAGTTGAATAAAAGCCTTACAAATAAATATACTCTTTCAATATCTTGATAGCGACAAGGGTATGCAAATAACATGTATGCAAATATAATCTACCGTTATTGAAATAAATTCCAAGTATTGTATATAACCTATTTTTAACATTATAACGCGTACTAGATCATTATATTATAACTTCGTCTGCTTTGGTAAACATATTGATTAATGTAATTACAGTGCGTTATATAGATTGGATTTACTTACCAAACCTTTTCAAAGAAGAATATGCAAATATTTATTCTATGCAAATCTAATATATTGTGAGTTTTCAAAATATTTTATGTAGAATTATTTTGTTACTCCTTTCCAATTAAAAAGGTTCTGTTTCAAAATATTTGTTTTAAACCTTTATATAAATTTATATACAAAATCGTTTTCTCTATTGAGCATAATCTTGTTTCTCTTATTCACAAAATAAACAGTATGATGAGTTGGTTGGTCAATATAGCAAATTATTTTTATTTATTTTCATTGAAAAACTGAAATATAGATTATAATTTTTAATAATCATGAATAATCCTATGAGAAATTTTCTTATTAAATATATTCAATTCTTTACGGGAAATATGTATTTGAATTTAATTTTTATGTGGGAAATTGTGCTAGCATTTATAAACATATTTGATTAGGATTTTTATAATATCATTGTAATATAATCTAAATTACATAAAAATATAAAGTACAGAGTTTATAAATTATAAGATTTCTGAAAATCTAAAATTTTTTAAATATAACAAATATTTTTATATTTTTAATAATTGATAATTCTACATTTTTGACCAGTTTTAGAATATACCACTTTTAATATTTATTGTAAATATGTATATACAAGGTATGTCCCATAAGTTCCCGGACTGGGTCCATAAAAAAATAAATAAATGAAAAATGTAAATGAATTTGACTGTTTATTATAGAAAAAATATCTGGCTACACGGTGGTACCAATATCGAGGCGGTACTTGCGCGCGCGCCAAGGTTATTCTAATTTATTTAAAGGTCACACCTAGCGCTGCGGCGATTTTACGATGGAACAAAAATTGAAGCAGAGGATTTGCATAGAATTTCGTGTGAAACTTCAAATATCAGCAACCGAAACTTTTGAAATGCTTAATAAAGCATTCCCCAATGACGCCCCAAAGAGAACAACTGTTTTTGAATGGCATTCTAGATTTAAATCTGGCAGAATTTCCATTGAAGATGATCCTCGTCAAGGACGCCCAAAATTTCAAAGGACTGATGAAAATGTGCAGAAAATCACCGATTTGATGAAAGAAAATCCTCGAACCACTTTGCTGGAGCTAGAGCAAGACACAGGCATCTCTAAAACAACGATTGGAAGGATCGTAACCGAAGATTTGAAGCTCAAAAAGACTGCTGCAAAATTCATCCCAAGATTCCTCACCAATGAGCAAAAACTGTGTCGGCTTGCAACCTGTGAGGACATGATGGAAATGACAAGAACGGATCCAGAATGGAAAGACAAGATAATCACAGGCGAAGAGACATGGGTCTATGGCTATGACCCTGAAACCAAACCTCAATCTGCCGAGTGGAGAGGTTAGGGTGAGCCTAGACCCAAAAATCCAGAAACAAGGTGTTGCTGGTCGCTTTTTTCGGATAACAAGGGCATTGTTCATCACGAGTATCTTCCTGCAGGCCAAAGCGTTATTAAGGAAATGTATTTGGTCATTCTTCGCCGTCTAAGGGAAGCGATTCGAAAAAAAAAGGCCAGAAAAATGGACTAATGGTGGCTGGATCCTACACCATGACAATGCCCGCCCTCACACAGCGCACTTGATGACTAGCTTTTTGGCGAAAAACGGGACACAAATCCTACTTCAACCACCCTATTTCCCAGACATCGCACCAAATGACTTTTTCCTGTTCCCCAAACTTAAAGCAGTTCTAAAAGGAAGACATTTTGACACCAGGGATGACATAATAGAAAAATCGCCGTTAGCATTGAAGAGCATTCCAAAAGAGGCTTATAAAAACTGTTTCGACAATTGGGAGAAACGATGGCGCTGGTGCGTTGAAGCAAGGGGGGATTACTTTGAAAAGTTTTAATAAAAAAAATTTTAAAAAATCTTACCTTTTTTTTATGGACACAGTCCGGGAACTTATGGGACATACCTTGTATATAGATAAGTAACCTATTTTTAAATATAATTTAAATTTATATCTAATTTATTTATAAGTTCTATATGACTGTAAAAAATGTTTTATTGTAATTGTCTTCAAGTAATTTAAAATAAAACTACCTGAGAGTAAATAATTATTTTTCTGCTTTTCTTTTAACACGACACTGCACTTTGAAATCTTTATTTTACAACAAAATTTATTATAACAATAAGCCGACAAAATACCATATATATTATTTAAATAAATGAAGTATTATATAAAAGGTAGGCTTGAAAAGAAAACTTAAAAAAGAGATTTCCAAAAGGATATGTTTGTTTGTTTCAATTATATTTTCAAATAATTTTTATAAAGAGAGCATATATATCAGTAAATTTATTTTTCTATCTCTCTCAATGTATCGAATATATTAAAAATAAAATGATAGATTACAGTTATTACAAATAATGTATAAAAAAGGTAATCATGAAAAACAAACTTAAAAAAGAGATATTCAAAAGGATATGCTTGTTTGTTTCTATTATTTTATAAATTGTGTTTTTGAAGAGGGAATGTAATAGTAAATTTATTTTTCTCTCTCAATATATGCAATATATTAGTAAAAATATTATAGACAAACATTATTATAAAAAATATATAAAAAAGTAAATTTGAAAATTAAAACTTATATAAAGTATTATTCAGAAGGATTGGTTTCTATTATTTAAAAATAGTGGTTATGAAGTAAACATATATAAGTAAATTTATTTCTTTCAATGGGAAATAATTCAATAATAATATGATACACAA